TGAAGTAAATTACTTAAAACTCAAAAATTGATTGACAACACATCTCCATGTCTATCTGTCCATCCATCTATACATCCATCTGTCTGTGAACAATGCTAGTGGTTAAACTGTATGTAGGATTTTACCGAAATTGATCTTCCATAATTGATGTGGCTGATGTTGTGGCCCTTTAAATTTGAAACATATTTTGATTTTTTGGGTTTCATGTATTTACAAGAACCCTCTACATTTTCTTCAAAAATGACTTCTAATTTTTTCTTTAATTTTTTTCTGGGTAGAACAAAAAGACATGAAAATGGCAGATTTCTCATATTTCTGACTTGTCTAAATTGTAGAAAATTGCAAACACTCAATTTCTTTGGTGTGCAATATCAAAGGTAAAGATTTTTTCTTCAAATTAAATGTATTCTCCACAGTTAATTCTTTAATTAATGTCATGTACATTTTTCAGAAATATTAGTAGTTTTCATGCAATTTTGAGTGAAATATAAGCAAAATTAAAAACATTTTCTGAAAAACAACTTCAATTTTTTTCTTTTAACTTTTTACACCAATGCACTAAATGCTAAATGCACTGAATAACATGACATAAAACACTATATTGATGCATAAAAAAATTACACAAGTAATTTCTTTTTTTATATCTCTCAAGTTGTTAAAGTTTTCATTATAGACAGATTCTATAAATTATCATGCTTCAAATAACATCCAATAAATTTTCTCGCAACCTGAAATAATTTTGATGAAAACGAGCTGTTTACACATTTTTGGAAATGCTCAAACCACTATTTCTTAAAAAGTGCTCCAGATTTTTTTAATGTAAATGTGCTTATAGGATAAGGTTTTGACCTTTTGTAATATTCTTAGTCACATTTTAATTCAACTAAGTAGCAGCTGGGAAGAGGATGGGGCAAAACTGAAAAGCTAGCCCAGACCAAAGAGTGAGGAAACTAACTCGTACAAGGAAGTTTGTATTGTTTTGTGACAGCTCTAGTTTGTAATTTATATTTCTGTGTTGTGTGAACTTAGTTACCCCATTCCCTGAAGTAACTGTAACCACTGAATTTCAATATATGCTTCAGTAATTTCTACCGAGTACCTGAACCCATTCTCTGTCTATCTACAATTGCAAAAAAGTGTTTAAAAAATACTTCACTTCCTTTCTCTACTCCCTGAGGCTTCTTAACGGAAAGGCTATGCCTATTTTGAAAATTATTGAACTATTCTGACCTAGGTTTTCTGTCCTTAAATTTGGTTTTTAGATCATTTACTTTCACAAAGCATTATACTACACAATCCACAATCTCCTCTCTTGAGAGGTCAAACTCCCTCTTTCCCATGAATCGAAAACAGTTTGGCAGTAGGTCCTCAAAAGTTAGTGTATTTTGAAGTCTTCCTTCTCCTTCCTTGCCATTCTGGGAGATAATTTCCTTAACTCATTCCCCTTTCTCATAATGGAGGAGGGTGCTTCTGGGAGTACTGCAGTGCAAAGCAAGTCGGAAGGCTGTAGTTTTCATTTTTAACTTCTTCAACTGCCTAAGCAAGAACCTCCTGTGAGTAAGATCCCTTATTAGCCCCTTTTGTTGTGAATTTTGATTTCTTTCAAAAGTAAGTAATAAGCTTGCAATATGTAAGCAAACATTTCAATTTAAGATCATTCTCTTCATTCACATTATGCATCCACTATTAACAGGTTTTTTGAACCTACAAGGTGACTGGCTCCACTGAAGGGAATGGTCTAGTTACCCCACTCAGCTGTAATCTAATGGGGTATCTTAGCCATATCCTGAAAACTAACATTGAATTTGTTTTGCTGACCGATTTAAACCTTTTTTTGTCATCTTCCAAAGTGATTTAGGTAACACCAATTAAAATATATATCAAAGTGTAGTTGCCAACAGTTAGGGGATGAGATTGATCAGGTAAGCTGTAAACAAACAGTGATGCAAAAACACACAATAAATGTTACTTATAAGTAAGACAGATGGGAGTGCAATGGAAAGTTGTTTTGGAATGTGCCAGTCCTTTATGATGCCAAGTTCACAATATAAAATGCTTCTCCAACTTTAGGGAAAACAGAAGATGTATTATGGCCCAAATAACCCATGAGCCCAATTACCCAAACTTACTTTTACCATTCATCATCAATTTTTTTTGGCTGCTTCATACTTTTAAATTAATTATTATGTGCTCCAGGGTTCACCTCTCAGCAGAGCTGACCTGCGTGCTGTGAATGTGAATTTGTGTGATATGTGTGTCATATTGTCTGCCAAAGTGCCAAGCAATGACGATCCTACTCTAGCAGACAAAGAGGCAATATTAGCATCTCTAAATATCAAGGCAATGACTTTTGATGATACAATTGGCGTTCTTAGTCAGAGTAAGTTATATATATTCATGATGTGTTAATGATTTTATTCAAAAAGTTGTAATATTGAAAGTTAACGAATGAGGAAGTCCTAATTACATCAATAGTTAATACAACTTATGAGAATGAATACTTCCATTCTGAGATACATTTTAAATGCTTAACTGAACATAATATTTCTCAGAGGAATACAATTAATAAATAAATTTCTTGAGTAAATTAGTAACTTCATTATGAGATAGACTGAATTTCCTTTTCTTGAACATTATTTGCCACAGATATTGAAAATATGAAAATGTATTACAACTATTCAAACAAAAGAAACATTAGTGTCATCTTAGGATTTGTAAACATTCTATAAAATTGGAATCATCCTGTTGGTTTTATTTCTGATCCATTGTCACAAAATACTTTTTCAAGATGGACTCATAAGTTGTAAGTATAGTCTTGATAATAAAAACAGCAGGTTGTTAGTGATTGTTGATATTTTTTATCATAATTCAAATAAAAATACCATACAAATATTTGGGTGAAGTATGCAACCCTTTTCAAGTGCATATAAAAATTATATTAGACAATTGTAAATAATAAAATGATTTAACCTTAAAACGAGTGAAACATAACATGAATAAAACTTTAGAGGACATAGTCCTAATGTTATTAAAATGTCAAACTGATGAAACAAAGAGGTATTTTACCAACACATTTTTGGGAGTATGACAGAACTTATTCCTTTATATTCCTCTGTAACAGAAAAATAACATATTCTTATGACTTAACCCCCTTCAACCAGTGTCTACACTATGTCAACACTATGTCCATTTTGGGCCAAAATTATATTATTGGTACAATCATATGGGTTTCTTGTCCACTACCCAGAGGTATACAACACTATGTCCTACATCAAAAATTCCCAGAGTTACAGTGCTTTTAAATAACACCAAGTCCACCTCCAGGACCAAAGTAAAACATCTTGAAACTGAGTGAGTGAACTATAGAGTGAATGTGCCATGTGTGCTTGTATGTAATTGTGTCATTTGCATTTTAAAAAAGTGTTTTGAATCCTGATCATTAATACTGAGTTGATACTCATTTTTACAGCAGCCAATGAACAAGACAATCTCACACCAGTTGGTAGTCCTATAGTTCTTCAGAGAAGAGGTTCAGTTTATGGAGCCAATGTGCCTATGATTACAGGTAAGGTATGTTTAGAATTAAAGCACATGTGATTTTTACGTGCTGAAGAGTTGAAACTTCTCAATACCTCTTTAAAAGGGATGAATGAATTATAAGTATTATTATATTCAAATAAATATATGTATTATCTATAAATCCTTCTGAGAAAATTTATTTAATTACGGCGAATTTTACAATTATTGCAACTTTGTAATAAACAAAGACCTCTTAATTATAAACTTATTGTGAATTATGTTCAACTCTTGGTATGACCTATGAGGTACTACCTCAGAGTAATGCTGTGTATTGATTGAATTCAGTTTTTAATGATCTAACAAAAATATGAAAACCATATTTTTGTTAGTTGTTTTGAACCATTATAATAAGGTAGCAAGAACACATGATTTTCTTGCTACCTTATTATAATTTCAAATGAGTAAATGAATAAATACATGTATTTCTTGAATGTTTAAATGGAAAATATAAATGAAATCAAGTTACAAATTACTAAAAAGAAAAAATCAACTCTGCCTTTGTATTTATAGTATTTGTCATTTTTGTACAATTCTCTGTGTGTTGACATTGTTTTGTGCTTGGACTTAGCATACTTGTGCAAACATGTGAGTTTTGAACAAACATTTTCCAGGAGTTAGTTTGAATATATCTCTTTGCAAATAATTTCTCCTGCATCCATACATTGAACTTTTTATTTCATTTCAAATTAGAAACAAGGTGTCTTTTGAAACTAAATACAATAAATGAAAGCAACACATTAAATGACAAAAACAAAAATATGAATGGTTAAAAATAATTTTAATCAAATTTCAATACTTTGTTTCTAACAATATTGCATAAGTTTGAATCATTTGACCAAAACAAATTAGGATGAAATTTATTTAGTTAAATCTGGTTACGTCAAAAAATCAGATATGATTGTCTTCAATGTCATATTATATGGTAACTTTATTCATTATGGTCAATAAAACCTTTACACATCATTCCACACACTATATTTAATTATGCATTTGAAGGTTACGTGTGTCACATTGTTTTAGAAGTCAATTTCATGATTCATCAGGTATCAATTAAAACTGTAATAGGTAAAAATAAAGAGAATAATGAGAACAAAGTATTAATAAAATGTAAAAATCAAAACAGAAAGTATATAGTTCAAGATACAAGGAAAAAATAACCTACTCAATGGAAGCCAAGCATGTATGAAATGAAAAAATAAGCCCATTAAGAACAGGCATGTAAAAATTGTGATTATATAAGTTCATGTTTACTGACAGGTCAATGTGTTTTCTAATTATGTTGAGGCCGGCAAGGGGGAGGGTGCTGGTACTGACAAGGGAGGAACAGCACTGCGTAGGTAGTCATGACAAGGAAAGAAGGGGAAGATATTATTTTATATTCAAATTGTGTGAAAAAATACTTTTTTTTTTTTCAATTTCAGAGCTTGTGAACGATAGTAATGTACAGTTTTTGGACCAAGATGATGACGATGATCCTGACACCGAGTTGTACCTTACTCAACCTTTTGCTTGTGGCACAGCATTTGCTGTCAGTGTCTTGGATTCACTGATGTCTACAGTAAGTTGCCATTTATTAAATCCATACTTAAATATATTTAGTTTCTAAAAAGTGATGATTATTTGTCAGTGGCAAACATGCCAAAAGCAAGATGTAGAAGTTAAGCATTTAATTTAGATTTACCGAATTGGCAAAATTAGTGATCAGACATCACTGCTATTGATAACCAATATGTGTTGTAAAATTGAGTTTGATAGTTAAAAAGTTAATCTTTTTTACGTCAATTTATTTTCCATTATTTTAATTTTTACAACAAGCAAAAATACCATTAGCAGCCTTGACCATTCATACATATATGACAATGCAGTGCAGACCAATCAGGGAAAATTTCTAACTTTCTCTAACTAACTATTTGACTTCAAAGATCACAAATGAAAAATATCATCAAATATTTCTTTTTCCACCTGTAGCTTCCCAACATTTGTTTGGGTTGGCCTTCTGCATGGGTAGCCCTGCCCTATCCCTGCCTTACTTAGTTACTTTTGCACAGTAGTTCGAGAAGCATCTGAGAAAAATTCTCAAGGTTCCAAATCCATCTCAACAAATTGTACCATTCCTTAGAAAACAAATTACGTTTACATGATTGAGGAGAACTGGATAATTCTTTCTTCCCTTATTGTTCTAGCTGATACTAATATTTGATTCAGGTAAGAAGACTTTCTCCCCAAATTATATTTGAAAAAGTAATTTGAAATTGGTATTTTTGACACAAATTGGGATGCGATATTTTTTGGCATAAATTTGTATTTCAGAAATTTTTCAAAACTAATGAATTACAAAACACTTTTCAGAACATATAAGACAGATTACAATTCAGTAATTTTTATTAAAATGAACACTTTCTATATATCATGGGAAAATATTATGCATCATAAAATCATCAGTATCTTCATCGGTGTTTTCTTCCTCATCATTTTTGTTTGCCTCCACAATCTTCATGTAAAGTAGAAATTGGATTAGATTTTGTATCTCATGACTGTCTACAAATTAATAGTAGCTTTCGCGTAAATCTGCATAATGTTAATGCATTCCCCCTCCCTCAAAAAATGCTCAAAATTTCTTCTTTAAATTTTTTCCACTGATATAAGAAGAGATGCTTAAAAGAATTATGCTGGTTTCATTTTTGGTGAACTCTCTGAATTTTTTGAAAACTGTGTGTTGGAAACAATGAGAGAGACGATTAAGGTTTTAAAGCTTCGGTTCAAGTGAGAACGTCAGAGTAGTAAAGTGTTCAGCAAATTGAATCATAGGATTCCAGTACGACTTTTGTCATGGAAAAAAAATTTTGCTGGTTAAAAACTCTTTTGTAGGTTCATGTAACAGTATAATATTGAAGGACCGATACATATAATACAAGAAAGTATGTGCTGTTGTAACATCACTAGTTTAACTAGTGGTGCTACAACAATTGCTCCTGAAATTCATGAGAGCATGTGTCCTTTTTGAAAAGTTGCTTTTTGAGAGTTTCGTAGAAGATGCTTGTCGTCAATGAGTAATTACAAATGTGAGTGAGAAATTTAATATGAATGTGTCAGATTGTTGAATGAGGCAGACTTGGATATTCTCCACACCTGAAGAGAATTTGTGTTTAATTTTTAGTATTTCCGAAGATGATGTTTCATTTGTGTATATTTACATTTGGTGTTGTGCAGGTGGACGGAATATTAATGTTATGAATTTTGATGGATTCATATTTTCCCCATTTCTGAGAAATGATTTTTGAATGCCTTTACTATTTTGTGTGGGTAATGAAGAACATTTTTAATTGAATTTCTGTGTTTTTCATTTTGATGGTTCATTGGAAGTTTTTCATGATGATCAGTTAGAAATAAATAATTTTCCTCAAAAATAGTACCTGCAATAGTTCCTCAAATGTATTTATGAAGCTGGTATTGTTAGAGGGAAAAAAGAGGGAGACTATTTCTGAAGTGGCTGTATGGTATGAAAAAAAAATTGAAATATGTGAACTTTGCATGATATTGCATATTACTTTAAATTTTTGTCATGAAGTTACTCTTTATCACATTGACAGTATTATTAGATGCCATTGTTGTAATTCTCAAGAATTTTCTGCGTTAGATAGAGCAGGTGCTTAACTTGTGTCTGGCTAACATGTGTGCGCTCCATTATTCACACCTATGCCCCTGAACAGAAAATGGAAATATTGCATGGATGGGCAGAGCTGTGTTTCTACATTGTGGAAGCTTCTTTCTTTCTTTCTCTGTTCTTTCTAAATTCAATTTTTTTTTAAAGTTTCTGTTATCTGTATTTACAGTATTATTCACTGTCGCATTTTGCTTTTGTGTTGTTTTGAACTTAAGCCAAGTGTTTACCATTCATCAGTAATTGAGCTTGTTAAATTACTTTCTTCATAATATTTTTGTATGTCCTATAGAAAGCAATAAACTCAAAACTACATTTGTTGTGAAGAATTTTATCATGCTTATTACATTTCCTTTATCATAAAATTTGTATTTCTCTGTTTAACTACAATTTGTGTTTTTGGTTTTATTTTGTGAGGGAAATCAAAATTGAAATATCTAAGGAATATATTTATGTACAAGTGTCAATTGTATTTGTTTCCTCGCACACCTCATCCCAATTTTATAAACATTAATGATATCTTTAATAATTGAAATAATTAAAGATAATGGGAAAAATATTCCATACAAAAATGTTAATTAAGTTCCCAAAATGAGCTAATTAAGTGTGGTACATGATAAGAACACATGGAATTTTCTGCTCATTTGAATAAAACCTTATGCTGCTGATACAATTTATCACTACGCATGTTAAATAAGACTGTGATACTTTTTCTTTTTCAGACATATTTTAATCAGAATGCTCTCACATTAATACGCTCTCTTATTACTGGAGGTGCAACTCCTGAATTAGAACTGATTTTAGCTGAAGGAGCAGGACTAAGAGGTGGTTACAGGTAAGGAACATATTTTGCAGCAGAAGACTTTTCTTCTCCGTAGTATTGTTTGTAACTCTTTAGTGCTGTATGGAAGTGAGGACTCAGAAATTCTCGTAATATAAAAGAAAGACACACTTTAAATCACTGTTATGTACATGCACTATGTATGTGCATATCCCATGGTCAAAGTGAATATATTGTACCACATATCACATTTCTGCACCTATATTTTAACTCAAAAATACATTACAATATCTTGGTAATTGAAGTATTGATGAAAAATAGTAACTTTGTGAGTATCAAAACATTTCCTTAAATAAGATATTTCTATTTGTTTGCACATTTTTGCAAAGGAAGCTAATTACAGAGGAAGCTAATTTTAATAACAACCTTATCAAGTCCTTTACTGATCTGTGTAAATGACGTCTATTTGTTTACCATCATCCAAGTACATTTTCACTTTATTAGAAAATTACAGTAAATTTCTGGTGGTTGATTTACCATTTACAAAACTGTTGTTGTTCAATAATATTTTGAAATTGAGGTTTCAAGATATCCAGTAGAATGTTTTCAAACAATATTATTTAAGATACATACAGGTCTGTACTTTGTAATATCATTTTTCTTTCCAAATTTAAAAATCAAGAACGGATCAAGTTCAGCATGTGAATGCTGATTAACAAACATCTACAGTAGTATGTTAAGCAAAAGTAATTTTTATCTTTGGTAGTATGTTTTCCAATTGAAAGGATTTGCAATTAATTATTAGAGACAATAAAAAACTGCATTCTGAAAATAAACACAATTTATTGCATATTGAAGTTGCAATGTGTTTACGATGTTGATCCACATCTTCAGGTGTTAGTCTCAGCCACCATGAAGATGATTTTATGTTAAAATTCTCAGGATTTGAACAACAGAGAAAAAAATTAAAAAAGGAAGCTCGTTTAAATTTATTGAGAGATAACAGTGAGAAAGAAATATTGTATCATAAAATACCCCAAAATCACATCAACACTGCGTAGGGTGAAATAATCTGATATATCCCAAGAACTATTTCACCTATAAAGTTAAAACTTCATAAAACTTCTTATGAGACATGTAGAAATTGGCATACAAAATTTCATCAAAATCCATGGTGGTCATGTGGTGTTCCTTACACCCCCCAGTACAGCCGCATACAAGGAAGTTTGAATTTTGCTCAGAATGTGCTCTATACGAGATAGAAAATATTTTAAACTTCAAAGACAACGTTCATATGCAGTAAACATCTTATATTGAAGTGAGTAGGCTTGAACAAATGTTTTCTCAATAACTATCAGCCTACTTGTGAGTCACAAGTCTTCGTAATGAAGTGATAAATGACTATTTTTTTAAGATCTACTGCTTTAGGGCATATGATCAGCACCAGTTCACCACAATGTCTTTGGGTTACTGCAAGGGGTCTCTATTGCTTCAGCACAATTTAGTGAGATTAGTACATTGATCTTAAAGAGCTCCTGATAACAATCATACCAACCCAACCTGCTGTTGGTCAAAAGAATTCACACAGTTCTGAAGAACATAGTTTTTCATGTTGATTTGATAAGACAAAATAGTTTGGTAGGACATTCTTAGTCGTTTTCAGAGTTTCTCAATCTTAAAAATGTATCAGTAGGACATGAACTTTTTGAGGAAATGAGAAAGTAAAAATCTTTGGGCAGAGTACAAACAATTGATTTCCTGTTAATCTAGTACAGAAATGAGAATAAGAATTAATGTGTGGTATTTCCAGTATGATTATTATATTTAGAACTTTTTCAGTATCTCTTCAGCATTTATTTTCATGCTCATTAGCTCATCCTTATTGTTTGTGTACCTGTAATCTTTCTGATGTATTGTATTACTTAGTATTTTATCTTATCACTTTATTTGTCTCTATGTATGTCTTTCTCATTTCTACAAAAGTGTGTTATTTCTTTAGTATTGATCTTTTACCCATTTTTTAGTCATATTTCACAGTGATAGTTTTCAGGCTGTTATTAGCTTTTTATGTTTTTATTCTTGTTTTACAGCACACCTGACAGTCTTTCTAACAGAGATCGTTGCCGGGTAGGACAAATATCATTATATGATGGTCCTTTAGCTCAGTTTGGAGAGGCTGGAAAGTATGGAGACCTTTTTGTGGCTGCCTTGAAATCTTATGGAATGCTTTGTATAGGTCTGTACAGGTAAGTATTTTTATAATTTGATGATGAAGAGAACATAAATAATTATCTTCTAATTCAACTTTTTATATTTTGAATGCAATTTTCTTTACAGGTTTAGAGACACAAGTTCTTCATGTGATGCTTCTTCAAAACGTTATGTAATCACAAATCCACCAGATGATTTCACACTCCTGCCTACGGATCAAGTATTTTTAATTTAATTTTGTATATTAATATGTATATAATATATAATAGGGAGCATATATGTGCGTGTGTGCATATATACACACATGCGCGCACGCGCACGCACAAAC